ATTGACATTATGACAAACTGCCACATTAAGCTTGGTGTGTTTATAATGCAAACAGGTGTGTATTAATAAAACACCTGATTCTGTACTACCTTGTAATTGCCTTTTAATTAATCTGTTATTTTAATTTTTTGATTATCCTTTTTACTTTTTTTTTTATTTCACTTGACTATGTTCATCTTCTATAGAAAGAATAATGTCAATAAAGTTATCAATATCTTATCTTATCTTATTATGCAAATGCACTTAGATAAATTACAGAGATGTTTCCATAGTCAAAATAAGTACAATGTTAATGATTCAGTATACATTGAATGCAATTTTTTGATTATATGTGCTTCTATTGGAGATGTGAAACATCAAATATGGTTAATGGTATATACATTGTACAAAGCATACTTATTCTAACAATTTTGATTTCTTTTTTCAGTTCCATTTGTGATTGATTCTGAGACTGGTGACATCATTGTTTCTGAATCAGGAGTTCTTGACCGTGAAACCTGGGATAACTACCGTCTCATAGTAACCGCATTCGACGGTCTGCATGACGTTAATGCAACTGTTGATGTTCACTTACTGGATGAGAATGATAACACTCCGGAATTTCCCCCGAATGAGTATTCTGGAAACATGACTGAAGACGAAATGACAGGTTTTACAATTTTGCAGGTAAAGTGCTTTGATTGGCTATCAAACATGTAATGTGTTTTCTGATTGGCTAGTTCTTAAGTTGATGGGATTGGGTAGCCAATGAGTGCCTATTTTTTAACTCGCTCTAAAATATATGCCATTTTGTATTTGCATATTCTCAAGATGTCTTCCCTTGCTCTAGAGCAAGTCATATACATGACTGCTCAGTGACAAATTCTCAAAGAGAATTCTTAATTATTTTTGTCATTAAAGTAGAAACTCAATTATGGTATTGTACAACACAATCTCTTCTGAAAGTCCCAGGATGTGTGACCCCTTGGGGTCATGCATATATTATAGGGTCTATTTAAATTCCTGTTGACACTGCTTGTTTTAGGTGGTTGCTTTGGATGAAGATGAAGGAATGAACAGCAATGTCACTTTCAGTATTATAACTGGTAACCATGGCAATGCTTTTGGTATTATGGATGATGGCTCAGTGTTCCTTGCCAACAGTAGTGTAATTGATATTGCTAACTATGTTCAGTATTCCCTGACAGTCCAAGCAACAGATGGTAAGTGGGTTCAGGTAATTTCTCGGTGAATTCTTTATTGCAGATGGACTTAGCTATAACCAGTTAAAAATGCAGAAAATTAATAAGCACTGCTCAAAATGTTATCAAAAGAAAGGTCAAGTAAAAAATTAAATCTGTCAAAGTTTAATAATGTTCTAATTTTAACCCTCTGAGTGCAAAAGTCAACTTCAGGCATCGTCCCCAAAATAGTTCCATTTGTAGTCTGCCTTTTTCCAGAAAAAATGTTGATAACAATTTTAAATTTGATTAAAAACTAAAAACATCATCACATTTTGTCTGTTTCGTCCAAGAATTAAGATTGAATTCAGTGAAAATTACAGAAAATGTGAACAAATTTACCCCAATTTAAGCAGGAAAAATTCAGTGCTTAAATTATTCAGAATAAATTTTACAGTACAAGTAAGTGAGGTCACTGAGTTGAAGTTTGCTGCACAAAATAGGCTTAGAAGGGTACACAGGTCATTTTCATTATTATAAGATGCACTTTTCAATTTTGAAATATTACAAATATATTTTTGGAGGTTGGTAAAATTCATAAACTGCCTGTCTAGTTTTTTATTATGCAAAAACTGTATTGCTTCACAGTCCCTCAACACCCGGTTAGGAAACGCTCCGAGTTCTATTGTCACAATGCACGTTTCGCGTTCGTAAAATTAGTTTACCGGTAATCCCCACGCTGTCAACATTAACATAAAATTAACATATAGTATGACATAATTTTCACCCAGATTACCTTGCGATTCATTTCTGCACAGACGCACACAACTTTATTTCTCTGTTCACTACTGACAAGTTACAACTTTCTTTCGAGTATTTTATTATAACGAAATGCGGGGAAAACATGACCATTTCGTTGATTTCAGCGACAGTGAAATTGATTGGGACGACATTATATCCTTTAGGACGTTCCCATCTATTTAACTTGTATGGCATACTGATAAGTGTATGCCTTCCGGTTGAAATCTGGCCACAAACGAGACTGAATCTTTAACTGGAAAAAATGAATGAAAAAATAAGAGAACAGCAATGGAAATAATGTTATCCATTTTTTGTGATATCTAACCTCCAAATAGTATTAACTATTTGGTAGTTTAAGTCGAAACGTGCATATACGAGGGTCGATACATTCGAATACTCTCAGCATAACGGCGATAATAGTGGATGTCGCCATCTTGAAACGAAAGTTTTGCTGCGAACATGTTCCGAGTAACATGACATTATGTTATTTTATATGATAAGAATGGGTCCTCGACAACATAAAATCGGTTTGGTTAGCTAAAAGCTACAAATAATTCCATCTTTTAAGTTTTAGTTGTTCCTATTCCTCGCGGACCAACATTTTCTGTTAGCGACACCTAACAGCCATCTTGTTTCATACACAAAACCTAAGACAAAATCACATGCAAAGTGAACAACTGAAATAAACACCTTCCCGGCACTTATGCACAAAGTAATAAATATTATCCAGAAATTAAACTATCAAATCACAAATTAATAACGACTGTGAATGTTTTGAACGTGATAACGCGATTTACC